GGAGGTTAGGTCTACGGCAGCAGTCAGATGAACACCTGAAGCTGCCTTCTACTGAATCAGACCCTTGGCCCATCAAAGTCAGTATTGTCTACTCAGACCGGCAGCGGCTCTCCAGGGTCTCAGGCTGAGGTCTTTCACATCACCCCCTGCCTGATCCTTTTAACTGGAGATGCCGGGGACTGCACCTGGGACCTTCTGCATGCAAGGCAGAGGCTCTGCCACTGAGCCTCAGAAGTGAGCAATGACTCATGAAAGCTCCTACCCTGCCACAAATTATGTTAGTCTTCAACGTGCAGCTGGACTCTTGATCTTTTCTACTGCTCTTCCATTGATGGAAATGCTTTGTCACAGCCTAGGCAACGTAGTCCCGTGCTCTAGTTGAAACCCACCTCCCCATATTCAGCCTTACTAGTTATTTTGTGCCCCATGGACATGGTGAACAGCTGACCACTGTCCTCTAGACCTTTAAATCGGTGAAAAGTTGGCTCATCCGGTGTCTTGTCATTCTTGTCTCCTCCGGACTGTTCATTCATGCCATTCCCTAGAGCTAAAAGCATTTTTCTTCTTTTTGAGGGGACGTGCCTTTTCTTGAAATAGTCTTGCAAACACACCTACAAGTTAGTTACTAGTCCACAAAACAAGTTTACTAGATTTTCAACTTTCTCCAAGCCACATCACAAGTTTGAATGGCAAGAAGGACCAACTGTCTTCCCTTGCTGGTCACCTGGAGTTTATTTTTACTCTCCACGGGTGACCTGGCAAGTGTCTAAGCACAAGCTTGTCTCAGACTGTGGTGGGGGAAAAAAGTAGAGCGGTACCCTCACAAATATGCCTTAGCAGCAGTGTCCCCTCTAAGCTGAGTTAGTGTGAGCCAGCTCACATTTTTTTAGCCTCCAGCTCACACATTTTTGTCTCAGCTCAGGAAGGAGGGCTCCAGAGCAAACTAGGTTATGCAGTAGGCAAATCACTCGCTCACAACTTTATTGCGAGTAGCTCACAAAGTAGAATTTTTGCTCATAAGACCCCACAGCTTAGAGGGAACATTGCTTAGCAGTATCTCTCTTTTATGTCACCCAATATGGTAGTAGATCCAGAGGAGTCAGCCATGTTAGTCTGCTGCCGCAAAACAGTAAAAAGCCCAGTAGCACCTTTAAGGCTAACAAACTTTATTGTAGCGTAAGCTTTCGAGAAACACAGCTCTCTTCGTCAGATGCATCTGACGAAGAGAGCTGTGTTTCTCGAAAGCTTATGCTACAATGAAGTTTGTTAGCCTTAAGGTGCTACTGAGCTTTTTACCAATATGGTAGTGTTTTTTTTCACCATAGTACAATGTTGCTGGCTTGTTTCAAACGGTCACCTTCTATGCAATGCTCCCTCTAAGCTGTGGAGTCTTGTGAGCAAAGATTCTACTTTGTGAGCTACTGGCATTAAAAGTTGTGAGCGAGCGATTTGGCTGCTGCAAAAATCAGTTTGCTCTGGAGCCATCCCTTCCTGAGCCAAGACAACAATGGTTGAGCCGGCGGCTAAAAAACTGTGAGCTGGCTCACACTAACTCAGCTTAGAGGGAACACTGCTTCCGTGTCTCCCAAGCACT